GGGTTACAAACGTGGGGCAGGAGAGGGGAGGAACAACCCTCTGAATCTTGTAACCTGTATCAGATGTAGCAACAGCATTTCCCTGCCCATAAACTACTCCCAACAATTTGGGAAGACAGACCCTGTCAGCAAAACGGTACAATTACTATTATTATTTTCAAAGGGAGCTTCAGTTTTAACACGCACATTTTCCTAACTGGAAATGCTGCTCTGCTGAATGGGTTACCAACACACTCGTGGTATGTGTAGCACAGCTCAGTGTGAAATGGAAGTGGTAACCTTTCAGTGAAGTGATCTTTCACTACAGAAAGCATTTCTTACTGCCTTTTAAGTCTATTTAAAGTAATATCCCTATGGATACCTAATTACTGTTTTAAAGAAACACTCGTAAAACTTACGATTATAAGAATATCAGGTTTAATATTGGGAATCTCAGCTGCCATCAGATGTCGGTCTTCCTGTCTTGAGAAATCACCTGTGTATAAAAGCTATGACAGAAAGAGAGAGAAAGCCAAGCAGTTACTCTGATTACAGGCAATGAAGTCAGCAGTCTTTAAAAAGGTGCTGTATAGGAATTCTATTTTTCTTAGCAAAGACAACTTTACAGAATTTACAATACAGAGATCAACTAAAGACTCCTCTGATGTGCACAGCTTACAACACTAGATTCTCAATATCACTATGCTTATGGTTAAATCACCTGGAGTGAAGGAATTTCAAGCACTACCTTCATCACAACAAAACCAGATAAACAGTTACTAGGATGTTGGTTTGCAATACTCCCCATAGCATATAAAGGTGGAATTTTCACTATTCTGGAGGTGAACACTGCCAAAAATCAACATTAACAGAAAATGGAACAGATACTACATAGAAATAAAAACTAGGTAAGAGTCTGCATGTCCAAATGGAAACATTATGAGTAGTCCAATAAAATGAACTACCACTTGGGCATTTAAGTATCCAACCAGGCTGACATGATAAAACAAAATTAGAAAAGCAAACACTTGTTTATGGATTTTGCTAAAATGTAGCCTAAGTAACAACTATCAGCCACCTCCGAGCAGGCGAGCAAGGAGGACAAACATTAACCAATTTCAAATGAGCCACAGCTCACTTCCATAAAACTCAAATACACAGTCTGGTTCAATACACAAACATTACTTACCCATTCTAATCAATCTTAAAAAAGGCCTCCCTTCTGTGTGCCCAAGCCTGTTTGATATACCTGCCTCTTAGAGCTAGTGATTGGAAGTAAGTAATTAGTGACTGTATTAGAATTCAGGTCTGTAGAAAAGGAAAAACCACCAAGAAGTACCAAAAAGGATGTACCTTCACACCAGCTATTTCAATCATGAACATGGCAGCTCCCAGGACATGGCCTGCATGGTAACACCAGAATTTGATTCCTGCAACCTCTTTCACTTCATGGAAGTTGATGGTTTCGATCTTGTCCATGCTCTCTTCCAGGTCTGTTTCTGTGTACAGCATGTCATCCGCTGATATGTTGCTAGATATAAATGAAATGCCTAAATATCTGCTAACTTTACCAGCTTAGATTCGATAACAACTGAGGGGGAAAATAAAGTCTCCAGATACACTGTTCCCCACCAAGAATAAGACTTTCAGAAACACTAAGTCACCCACATTAGAAATGAAGCCCAGTGACTCTAACACAGCTGCCCTAAGCAAGGCTAAAAGGCCATTCTGCAACAGTCTTTAAACTTCAGCATCTGCTCTGTATTTTTCTGACACTGAAGCATTAATAAGTTTCCAGCCATGGATAATGTTATTTGGAGTTTCTCGTTACTTTTGATCTTGCTCTAATCTTGCTGCTTGCAGCATCAACCAGGTTCATCCAAAACCTTCCTTCGCCTTGTCTTAAGCTAATTCTAGCAGCAAGTAATAAATACCCAAATTTGCCAGGCTGATGTAAAATCATCTCAGGTAGGAGACTGCATAAAGACACTTTTTATATATAGAATAAAGCCGCTTTTTTATATAGAAGCAACAAACTTACACTATACACTAACCATGTATAGAACTTCAGATTTAGAAAAAAAACAGAAATATTTGATATTGCCATTGTATTTTGTAATACCAGTTAATTACTGCATGACTATCAGAAAGCAAACATCTAGAGAGCACAGACACATGCAAGGCTTACTACTATTAAACTCACCTTACTATGTGAACTATATTTGAGGAAGATGAGATAATGAAAAGAAGCTATATTTTTAAGCTGGGAATGATCATTTAAAGATATCTAGGAAACCCCCCAAATACATGGTACTGAATAGCCTTTAATATTGGGTATACAATTGGAGGCAATTAATGCAGAGGACATAGAAGGACCACAAATGGGCTGACATACCTGACTTTGACATAGTCTGAGAGGAGCCACCTGTAAATGGCTTTTGTGGCGTGTGTCATGAAGGTTCTTCCTTTAAAACTTGTTTTCTGCAAAAACCATGGTAAAGCCCCACAATGATCTAAATGGAAGCTTAAAATAGACATATGAATCCAATTAATAAATTAACATTACACAACATAGTGTTATAGAATCCGACACTTTAAAGAATTAACAAAGCACCATAAAAAAACAGAAATAGAGATTTTTCAACTGCATTGTTACCTATGCTGGTTTAGGGTCCCATACACAAGTGACTATAAGTAAAACACAGAAAAGCTAAGAGTAGCGCAGAAATTTGTCTGTTAATGGAAAGACTTTACCCACAGAGTCCCAAAATTACAATTTCTATAATTTATATATAAGCCGAGAGGGAGAAAAAATAAGGGAAACAAATGAATGTAGAACTTTCTGAAAAGATCGAGGAAAGCTAATGAAGCTGATCCCAAGTTTGCAGTCAGACACCAGATTACAACAGGACAACTAAAATTACTATATTTAGCCCCACCTCTGACTTCAACTATTTTAATGAAGCACTTTTAAGACACAGGTAGAACATGCACATGCCATCAAATGGCAGCATTTTATGGTATTTTCTATATGATTAGTTACGTCACAGACAGCTAACAAGATGCAATTTTAACTTGTATCAAGATTTTAGTCTAGAAGAACCTTTTACATTCATAGCCCAATAAACTAAAAATGCCACTAATACTTTTCAGTGGTCTTTATGTATAAAAGATGTTCTAGAAGCTGTCACATGGCATTAAAACAAGGGAGAATATATGGCAGCCAGAGGTCACAGTGAGCTCAGAGAGCTGTTAATGCCTTAATAAAATTTAAAGGCTGGCAACTACTGACTTAAATATTTTTCCATGCCACTGACATCTACATAACACATATTTTCAACGTGCTTTTAATAAATTAGAGGTGAACACTGCTAAGAGCATCCAAGTGCATTTGTTCTTCTAGACGCTACTTACTGGCTAATGAGGAGGAGATCAATCTCAGCAGGATCTATCAAATCAATGTAAGGAAGAGCATCCATTCCTTCCAGTCCAGGGTGGATTCCACAATCGAGCTGACAAATGAAAGCAAAAACTAAGCATTCTAAGAAGTATCTAAAACAAGAAAAACTCTTACTTTTTGGCTTACAATATCCTGACTAGCATCTTACTAACTTTTAGTATCATATGGAAAAAAAGTCGGTTTTCCTCTGTCGTTGCTTTTAGCATCTGATCTGACATTTAGGATGTCTGTCTATAGGTCTTAACTGCACTGGGAAGCTAAATAACTCCTTTTAAAAGCCATTTTCAGAGCCCAGTTCTTTATTTGCAGTTTTACACTCACGCAAGTCTTCAGTCACACTTCAGCAATAGGCACGTGCACAGGAACCAGCGCAGCGGCACCACCTCGGTTACCACCTGAGACGGCAGCCCAAAAAGTGAGGGACAACAAATGTGTGTGTTCAGCTTAACTGAAAGATCAGACTTAGGATCCACCAAAATCGGGTTTTAGAACCCACATGTGGCCACGTCTTCTGTTTGGAGAGCTGATTTCACGTAAACATGCAAACACGTTCATACAAGGATTACCATGATTTTCCTTCCTTTAAACTCCAGAATAATGCATGATCTTCCTACTTCCTGGCCAGCACCTCTGCAAAAAAGAGGTCAAAGTCACTGAAACAAGAACAGCACCCGCCCTACGGCTCCCGCCGAGCACCAGGCCCGCTTCTGTGTGACAACAACGCCCGTGCAGCACCGCTGCACGCAGGCATTTAATACCCTGAGGTAAGAGATAAACCCGTCCCAAGGAGAACGAGGTTTGACCCAGTCCCGAAAGGAGCAGGGCTCAGCCCTAGAAGATGCTTTTTGTCTCCTGCTGCTCCTGCGGCACGCTTGCTGACGGGAAGCTGAGCTGCAGGACACACCGGGTGTACTAGAAGCTTCGTTATGTAACGGGCCCTGCAGGGGCTAGGCGGGCCTTGAGGCGGCCCGTGACGAGGCCACCAGCGGCGGCCCTCGAGGGCCACCGACATCCTAACAACTACACAAACGGCCACCGATAGCCCACTATCTCACACGCAGCCGCCGGCCACGGGCGCTGCGGCCCTTGCCCGCCGCGGGGCCGCCCGTTCCCGTGCCCGTTCCCGCCGCCCGGCGCTCACAGCGGGCGGATGAGCAGCTGGTCGCTCTCCTCCGCCGGGATGAGCGCCTCGGCCTTGCGCTTCGCCGACATGGCGGCCGGCAACGCGGGTGCCCCGTGTCCCTCGGCGCCTCCCGTCCCTCCCTCCTCCCCCTCGGCGGCCGCCCTTCCGCCGCCGCCGGGCGCGCGGCCCGGAAGCGGAAGCGGCTGTTGCGGCGGGTGAAGAAGCGGCCGTTGCCGGACGGTTAAAGCCCGGTTTAAATCCCAGAGCCTGGGCCGGGCTCCTCCGCCCCGCGCTTGGGCCCGGCTCTGTGTCAGGGTTTAGCGGCGCCCCGGAGCCGGGCCTTTTCCCCGCCCGCGGCCGCCCCGGTGTTTGCCGGGCGCCGCCCCTGGGGCCCGCGGCCGTTTAACGGCTCCGTCCCCGCGCGGAGAGCCCCGCGGCGGGCCGCCATGCCAGCATGTTCCGCAAGGGGAAGAAGCGGCACAGCAGCAGCAGCTCGCAGAGCAGCGAGGTCAGCACCAAGAGCAAGGTAGGCCCGCCCGGCCGGCTCCTGAAAGCTCGTTAAAGAAACAGCTGCTTAATTGATTATTAGTTAAAGCAAATCTTGAGCCTTTATTCTTTGTTTTGAACTGTCTGCTTCTATCTGATCATCTCTGAGAGGTGGGCTGGATGTTCTGGGCGTGCTGAGGTGCTGCTCCCTTCTATAGTGCTGCTGTGGGACACGTTACTTCAGCTGTGACAAGGGGGTGGCTGTTAATGTCTCCAGGATTAGGACACAGCCCAGAGGAGTCCGTGCATAACTGGAAGGTTGTTTTTCTCTTCAGCTTTTTTTTTATGTATTATTTATGGATTTTTCAAGGGGTTCTGCTGGATTTGTATTAAATCTAGGTTACATCGAGGCCGAAGGATAACTTCAGAAAAAGCATCTTCCCTGTTTGCCCCCTATTGCAGTGCCCTTGAATAGTTCAAAACCATAAAGATTTATCTGTGTAGTTTTTAAATCCATGGAGAAAAGGCAGCTGAAGGTGAATTGTTGATAACTCTTGCTTCTTATTAACTCCCCGTTGCACTGGGTGTTGTGTTTAATTTGTTTTGTTTTTTCTGTAGTCTGTAGATTCCAGTCTTGGGGGCCTCTCCAGGTCCAGTACTGTGGCAAGCCTAGATACAGACTCCACCAAAAGCTCGGGTACGTGAGCAGGGGCTGGGTAGTTGGAGCAACACTGATCTTGCATGGGCTCCTATAAAGGAGCAGAAAACTAAAACAGTTAAACTATCTATTTTTAACAGTTGCAAGTGAATTTGTGAGGTAGTTTGTCGACTGTGCATGTATTTAATGTCCCACAAAGTAGTATTACTAGTGACCTAAGTGTCTATTTTTGTGCAAGAAGAAGTCTCTAAGCAAAAAAAAAATCAATTAGTTGTGTTTCTGGCTTGTTACACAGCATAAAACTGCTTCAGATTTTTGGAAGCTCTGTTGCTTTCATGAAGGGAATTTTGCCCTTACATCTGGGAACTGAAATAAGAGTTGATTTTTACCTGTTTTCACCCACGGATCACAGTGTTACAGATTGAACCAAGCTTTTAAAATAAACTTTAGAAGCAGCCTTTGAATTCATATGAAATTGCTGCTTTTTCTAAGGGCTATTCTGGTTGCATAATAAAAAATCAACTCATCAGGGTTCATTAAGGAGAAGAGTTAATGTATTAACTCTAGTATAGTCAATATATATAAGAAAGATGTAATAACTTTATGAAGGAATATGTAATAAATATGAAAGTCAGCAAAGGTTGCATGTAACTTGAGAGGCTGAGTGAGCTGGGCCTGTTTTCTCTGGAGAAGAGACGGCTCAGAGGGGATATGATTAATATGTATAAGTTCAGGAAGGGAGAATGCAGGGAGGAAGGGGACAGGCTGTTCTCACTGGTGGCCAGCGATAGGACGAGGGGTAATGGCCACAAACTGAAGCATAAGAAGTTCCGTCTCCAGGTGAGGAGCAACTTCTTTACTGTTAGGGTGACAGAGCCCTGGAACAGGCTGCCCAGGGAGGTTGTGGAGTCTCCTACTCTGGAGGTCTTCAAAAGCCGCCTGGATGCCACCCTGTGCCACATGCTGTAGGTGTGCCTGCTTGAGCAGGAAGGTTGGACTAGGTGATCTGTAGAGGTCCCTTCCAACCTTAAATATTCTGAAATATTCTGAAACTTGACACATTAGTTCTGTTAACACAAACAAATAGAATTCCTGTTGTTTAAAAATGCTTTATTTTGTTGCAGGGCAAAGCAATAGCAATTCTGACACATGTGCGGAATTCAGAGTTAAATATGTGGGTGCCATTGAGAAATTGAAATCTAATGAGAGCAAAAACCTAGAAGGGCCTTTGGACTTGATTAATTACATAGATGTTGCCCAGGTAAGCACGTTTCAAATGTGAACACCAACAATGTCAGGATATTTTAAGCTGAGTTTTATTTCTTCTTGTCGATATTAGACTTACTAAAGTACCTTACTGAAAAAACGAATTTTATGAAATTATGATGTGGAAAACTGTCATATTGCTTGCATCCTGCTGTCCTGTCTAGAGCAGCTGGAGGCAGTGCAGCCAAAAACAGTTTTGGAGAAGCAGACTGAGAATCAGGGCCCTTTTCCTGGCTCACCACTGGATGACTGTCCTAGCGGGAAGCTCTGACACCCTCTTCAGCACTGTTAGCACTGCTACAGAAGAAGGTTTCCTACAGAGGAAAATTAAGTTTCCACTTAAAACCACTTACGTGTATCCAAGGAACTTGAATAACAACTTGGGTTGTCGTGCCAAGTTGTGTTAGCTTTTGGTACAAAAAAAACACGCAAGTCCTTGTTAGGTAGCTGATTTCTTGGTGCCTTTTAGAGCACAGAACATCTGTTTATGTTGAAGCACCAAGACACTTTTCCTGTCCGTACATTAGTGCTGCCAGTGCTGAACATGCAGCCTGACAGAGCTTGTTTTCCTGCTCCTCTGACTTACCTGCAACATCCCAATGGAGCAGGGACCCCAGAGGTTATAACTTCCTTTCTGGAAGCGTGTAGTGTTTCAGCTAAGGAAAGAGATTCCACAAGTGCAGCAGTGGGAGACCCACACAGTGAGACGTGGGCAGAAATGGTGGTGGTTCCTGCAATGAGGGGCACTTGGGCACGTTTTCAGCTATGTATCTTCGATGTTTGTCCTGCTCCTCGTGCACTAAAGGCTTTTGTTTGTTTCCCTCCAAAGCAAGATGGAAAGTTACCTTTTGTTCCAGGTGAAGAGGAATTTATTATGGGAGTTTCCAAATACGGCATAAAAGTTTCCACATCTGATCAATATGTAAGTGATTCCTAACAAAATGTGTCTGGGGAGGGCAGGGCTGAAAGGTTTTCCTTGCTCTGATAGCAGACGTGTGTGACCAAGATGTCACTCTGGCTGTAGGTCCAAGTAAGGAAGTTATAACAGGCTCTCGCAGCAGCACTGCCACAGTTTATATCTCCTGAAAACTGCCTTTTGGCCACCTTCCTTGGTGGATTTGTTGGATTCATAGCAAGAATCCGTGCCTTTTTTTAGGATAAAAGAGTGCCAGGCAGAAGCAAGACACGTCTCTGTGCTCTTGGGCCTAATCTCCTCTCTATGGTTGCTCTGCCCTCATCTCAGCATGACTGTCACGGGCAGACCTGGGAACTTTTAGCCTTTTCTGAGTTGATGATTCAGTTCCAACGTAATGGTGGAAATGGAAAGAGGAAGGATTTTCCAAATGTGCTTGAGGTGTCTCCCCTTTGGGAGTCATCCTTGAGCTCCCAGGCCAAGGCTGTAGGTTCCCTCCAGCATTAAAGCATCGTGTTTCCATTTTATTTTTCAAGCCTGTTTTTTCACATTTGTGTTATTTTCTATAGGTAAATATGGGTAAATTCTATAGTTTATTTTCCTTTAACACACGCCAGGGAGCTCTTTTGCTAAAAACAGCCCTGGTCCCTTCCCGAGGGCTGGTCTGCTGCCCTTGCAGAGCCCTGGGCCGCGGTCCTGTGGTTGCCCTCTGCTTGAGCAGATAGTAGAGATTCCTTGGACCCAGCAACCAGGGCCTGCGAGGCCAGGGAGCAGCTCTGCCCAGCAGCTGAATGGGCTCCAGAGGGTTCCCTTTTTTCCCTGTGGAAAATGAAGCACGTGTTCCTCATGCCCCAGAGGAAATGGAGTGTTTGTTAGTCCAACTTCTAATTCCTTCGTTTTTTTTTTTTTTTTTCCTTCTTGCTGTCCTGAATTTGTGATTCTCATTGAGAGTGTAGGTTTTATTATTTAAATTCCCATGAGCTTTGACAAGGGGGAATGGATAATTTTAAGTCTTTTCATCATCACTCCTCTGGTTTCAAGCTGGAAGCATAACAAGCTGATAAAGCCAACCAGCTTGCACTGACATTTTCATTGCCCTGTATTCCATAGTCATAATTCTGACTTTTTTTTTTGTTTATTTTGGATCTATGTTGCTGATGATGCTTAATTCCTGCCTTACTCTGTTACTGCTCCTACCTGTGTCCCAGTTACCTGAGATGAAAGGTTAGGCAAGGCGCTGAGCCTGCCCTGCCGCGGAGGGGAAAGCGCCGGCCAGCGCTCCGTGACTTGCAGGGGCTCTGCAGAGGAGCAGGCTGCACAGAGCTTCAGGTGCCAAAAAGAGAATTGACTGAAGGATACAAAAATGCTTCTCAAGTGGATTTAAATCCTTACTTGAAATTTTGTTAGTGACTGAAATAGAAATAGGTGATAACTTACAGGTATATAGTAGGTAATGTGTAACTGGTGCATTTCTGTTGTGGGTGGCTGCCATCACAACAAACCAAAGCACAGAAGTGTTTCTAGGAGCAGCACCTGAGCTTGGGCCGTCCTCTCGCTCTGCTTCTAGGCATTTGTGCCTCTTCTACACACACTAACATGTATTTGTGGCACAGTTTGTCCATTGCCACCTCAGTTCTCCCTCAGCTGCAGAATCCTCTCATAGCCAAATACTGGGAGGAGGGGAAGAAACGAATATACAGGGACACTGGGCACCCTCAACAACCCTGGTGACCTGTATGGGGGCACTGGGCACCCTCAGCAACCCTGCTGACCTGTAACTGGCCTCCCTCTTCTAGTGACAGCCCACATGTTCATTAGCGCTGCAGCAAGTGCCAAGCAGCAGCTTGTAAAGGTTAATGGAATTCCGAGGCAAACCTTGGGATCTGACATAGTGGGAGAATAAATCAGTAGGAGGCGATGCCTTGGGAAGGAAGCTTGCTGAGGTAGGCAGCAAAAGCTGTTAGTGCTAGGCACCGCTGGCCTGCCCTTTGGGAATGGCCGAGACGGATGGAGCTGGAACGGTGGCACAGGGCACTGGGAAGGCTTTTTGGGTGCCGCTTTCTTGGAGCAAGCAGGTGCGTTTCCCAAACTCCTCCTGCTGGCGCTGCCTGCAGGCTCCTCCTCAGCACACAGAAGGAGGCAGCGTGAGGAGCCAGGTGCCCGCCAGTTGCCAGGGCAAGTGCTGGAGGTGGAACCTGGCACCTCGTAAGGCACAAACAGCCCGGGCAGAGCAGGGCCAGGAATGTCCAGAAGAAGGGAGCAGAGGAGAAACGGAGCCCTGGCACTCACCTTGCTGCTGAATTTTCCTTCTTGGTTGTTACCAAGATGGAAGAAGGTTTCTGTTAGATAGGAAGGTTTCTTGCGAGAGAAAGATCTATCTGTCCAGATACCTAGAAATCTCTCTGGGTGTTTCTCTGTGCATCGTGGCAGCCAGAGCTGAAACCCCCTTATCCTCTGGGGAAGGAGCGTGTGTCCCTGCGGCAGCCAAAGTGTCGGATTGGAGCCCTCCTTGTGTCACTGGTGCAGCTGGGGCCGGGTGGCAGCACCCAGGGCTCCCTTCCCAGCTCAGGCCAAGTGAAACGCAGGATCCGGCCCTTGCAGATGGGGGGCTTTGCACATAAACAAGGCAGGGGGGTGCAGGGACAGCAGGGAGCCCCTGGATACGGGGAGGCTGGTTTGGGAATGAGCAGAGGAGCGCGCAGATTCTGGGAGACCAGGAAGGAGGGGAACCCCACGATGCCCCCCCAACAGACACCTCGGACAGCTAGGGAGGGAGCGAGGCGCATCTCGGAAAGCAGATGGATTAGGCAGGGGAGCGGGAGCAGAACTCGCTGTGTCCTTTGGAACAGAGCCTGCCTTTGAACATTAAACATCAAAGCTAAAATCACCATTAAGCCACGCTTGTTAGAAAACCTTGAGCATTTCCCGTTTTAGCAAAGCTGGCTATTTTGAAGCCCTGTCGGAATGTGCGGGGCCCGTGTGTAAGGGAGCGGCGGCGACGCCATGCGCGGGTGGCACCATGCGCGGGTGGCACCATGCGCGGCGCGCGCTGACGCTGCCGCTGGCGCCCGCAGGACGTGCTGCGCCGGCACGCGCTCTACCTCATCGTGCGCGCCGTGGGCTACGACGACGGGCTGGGCGCCGGCCGCAGCCTGCTCGCCTTGAAGACCACGGACGCGGGCGCCGAGGAGTGCAGCCTCTGGGTCTATCAGTGCAGCAGCTTGGTAAGAGTTGAGCGCCACGCGTTCTAATTTGGCTACCCCCACTTTGAGCTTAAGAAGAGATTTTTAAGGCCTCTGATGTTGCCTTTTGGCAGCAGGGGGATGAGGTGGTTACTAGGAAGCATCAAGAGGCCTGAGACATTCAGCTCAGGACAACCCTCCCTTTGTATTGTCAAAGCTGAAACACAGTAGGAGAGGACAGAGCAGGGAGGGATTGAGTAGTGAGTGAATGTGTCCCCTATTACTGGAATTTTTGGAAGCCAGGGAGTGATCCCCTCTTAAAGCAGCAGAATTGACTGTCAGGATGCTGTACTAGGACATAGGCCCTTAGTAGCCCCAGGAAACACATGAAGCTGCTTTTCTGAAGGCTGTTTCTGAAGCAGGGGTGTGCTCTGATGAAAGCTGACACCTCGGGCCTGTTTCAAGGCGGCTCCTTGAGAACAGCTTCCACCAGAGCACAGAGCTGCAATGAAATCTTGTGCTCTTCCCCACTCCATGTCTATGCCCAAAGAATGATAAAGGTTCCGTTTTGCCTTTAATGAGCTTGGAGAATTTGAGGACTTCTTGGGAAAGTGCTAACACGTGTGTGTGTTTGCTTCAGGAGCAGGCCCAGGCCATCTGCAAAGTGCTATCCACAGCCTTCGATTCCGTATTGACGTCGGAGAAGTCCTGACGTGCGGCGGCTGCAGCCGGAGGAAGGGGCTCCCTGGGACCGTCCCCGTGGGCCCCACAGCCTTGGGGGCGCCTGACAGGGCCCTGACCCGGGATGTTGTCACCTCCCAACCACGGCTTGAGGAAATCACCATTCCACCCCCAGCATCCAGGACCACACGGAGTTTTGTATTTATCAGGGAGATTTTTTTCCTATGTCACTATTTTGTATATTAATGTCAATAGTGTAGAAATGTAAAATAAAACCAGTGCTTCTGACTGTCTGTAAAATAATTTGTTTATGGAGATTTAAGCCAAGTGTTAACAGGTAGTGAGCTGAACCTTTACACCTTAATGCAACCTTAAGGGTGCTGCTGCCTCCACAGAATCTGTGTTCAGCTCAAGCCCCCCGAGGCAGGTGGTGCTGCGGCTTGTCTGTGCTCATCCCTTTACACAGGGGGAAAACCAGCTCTGCCTGAACAATAATGTTCAGAGAATGTGACCAGTAATGTTCAGAGAAACAGCCTGGGTGATTTTAAAAGTAGTTTTATTTTTCCAGCCCTCTGACTGGTCAGCAAGAGTAAAATTTATTAATCATGCTCTAATTATAAATCACTGCATCCAGGACATTGAAAATAAGAGTTGATTTTAGGTTATACAATATATACAGTTGCTCTGCAACTAAACAAAATAAAAACAACTGAATTCAATATTATACATCTCATAGCATTCTAAGCTGCATTCTTAAATGTCATTGCTCCTTTTTCAACAGTTAACACAGCAACCTCATAGTCTGTCTGTTAACAGGGTTTGTTGGAAGCATGATTCTAATCAGTTTTGAAAAGCTGTATGAAATAAGCCAAAATTTTGGCCTTAAAAGTTCTTCATTTTATATTATAAATAGGTATCTACAGGTGCTAGAACTTATCTCTTCTGCCAGAGGAGCACAGCTTGGAAAAATAGCACTGAAAACCCAGGGACAAGTTTTGTGGAGCTGCTCGTTCTTGGTCCCCAAGCTTGGATCTGCCTGCACCGCTAGTGCTGCTGCCTCTGGCTCCTGCAATTCCCTAGTGCGAGTGACAGCCCTGTCCCCAGGGCTGGGACAGGCACAAGAGTCGCAGCCTCCTCCAGCAGAACGGAAATTCCCTCTGCATCCTCCTTTCACGGGACAAGCTGGTACATACGCTATAAGATTCTGTGTTAAAAATACTGTACATTAGGAGATCTGTGCAAAATAATATGCCCATTTACTCTCTAGCCTCTATCAGGGATAGAAACATACAAAATAGTGTTGCAAACTGAACGTAGCAGTACGGGGATAAAACTGTAGTGCTGAACTATTCCTCTATTGGTTTCCTGGGACCTTGGAAAATAGAGCCTGCTTTGCCTCAACTTGCAACGAAAAATCTCTCGGAACGGTCCAGTTTGTTCCCTGGGGCCGTAGGAGCAGGGAGCGAGTGGAAGCTGAGGGCCACAAGGCTGCATCCCTGTGGGAAGGGGAGGGAAGGGAAAGGAAGGGGAGAGCAGTGCTGCTCTTCCAGCACGCACGGGGCAGCCTCTTCTCTCTTCTATTATGCCTACAGCAGCCCCTTTTCAACCCCATTTGTCAGCACTTCAAAATTCTCTTGCCAAATGCAGAGCTAAACTCCTCACAAAAGGTGATCAAAGCCAACGTGCTCTGGGCATGGAGCTTTTCTTACCCCAAGCTGGCCCTTGGTTCCTCTAACTAATCAGCAATCTCACGCTCTACAAAGTGACGTGGGGTTCCCAGGGATGCTTCGTGTTTCCTCAACCAACGGGGAAGCGGCGCTGGCCAATCAGTACTCACCAATTAGGCCAATTAGTACTCACCAATTAGTGAAACACATTCAACGACAGTGTAGCTACCATAGATGGGGGTCTAGTATATAAATACAGAGTGAGTTGTAGCAAACTGCTGCTGTTTGCAAGGTAGTGGCACACGACTGTGTGCGACAGAACATAACGGAGTGGCGCCTCCCGCCCAAGGGTAACTCCCCGTGTTCCACCAGCCCTGGGCACTGGGGGAACACGTGGCTGGATGGGTAAGAAAATTCAAGAATTAACAAAAAAAAAGAATGATACGAGTGTAGGAAATGTTCTGCAATCCATCATCATAGTGGAACACGCTTCAGGAAGTGCAGTTTCTACATCCTTGAGTTAATTAGTAACTCGGGAATATTGCCATAGTGGAGTTAACCAGCGGTGGTCACATTCGGCGACTCAAAGGGATGGAACACATATGAAGAACACTTAAAAAGCAGGTTACACCCACGTGCAGCATAGAAAATGAAACAGTCTCAAGCTCACAAAATCGGAACTAGAAAGTCCAAAGCCTAACACAGATTTTAGGTAACTTGAAGCAAATATCTACATCCATTCTGAAAGCAGAAAGTTTCTCCTGTGGTAAACTGAAACACTTGGGCTGGTCTAACGGGGAACATAATTTCAGCTGCTGCCCTCCTGGCTGGGAGCCAGTGTGACACGATGCTGGATTAGCCCCATTTCGAGCTCAGCACCTTGCAAGTTTGGGCTCCAACACTGAAAGGGTGCTGGGAAATGGGTAAATTTACTGCCCTGTTACCAACAGACACAGTTTCTTTGACTGGGGAAGTGACACGGAACTATGAGACTGTCACGCTACAAAAGGCAGAAGAAAATTACAGTGAATCCACAAAAAAAAAAAGTTCATAATATCCTGATGTTCACATACTTGTATGGATTTTCATTGTTAAAGCTTTTCAGTTCACCTTGAAAAAATACAGGAAGAAAGTTTAAAGTGTAAACTGCTCGTGAGAAGCTTTCACATAGAAAAAAGTTCTAAAAGTCCCCAAATGAGAGTGATGGTAATAAAAAAGATAGCTACAGTACCTAGAACTTGGGCAGTGCTCTGGCAAGGTATTTGCAGATAGGTAGATGAAATGAGAGAGGAAAACTTATTTCTGTGACCGCTGGATGTGAGAAATGTTTCCGTTCATCAGTAGCAGTTTAGTCAACAATAAAGTGCACGAATGATACTGGGAACGCTCCCTTCCGACCGGGCTCGCCGTCGATGTGACCGATCTGCAAGAGGCAGGGAGGATTTGCAAGTCAGTGCCCAGAAGGCCACGGCAGCTCCGCGAGCCCCAGCACCTCCCGGCCTGCCCCAAGGCTCCCCGTCTACTGCAGAGCTGCTCTTCACTCTGAGCACGACGAGGAAATGCAGAGCCCCAGGGGTATCCGCTCTAGACGTTTTCCCAATCCCTCCTGATCCAGTTCTTTGGAAGTCACCCCTCTCGCTGCCGTGAGCGGCTCCATTTCGGCTCATTCGGGCAGCCCGAGTCCTGCCTGCACTGAGCTGCTCCTGCTCCCTCCTCTCTGCAAGCACTGAAAGGTGGAAGGATGGGTCAAGCTTTGCCACACACCAAGAGCTGGGGAGTTACAGCAGCCGTTTGGGACTTGCCATTATTGCCAGCTCAGATGCAATTTGGAGCTCCACTCTTTGCTGGCCAGCACTTAAGCTAGTCAAGTGTTTGCCTGCATAGTTTTGCAAGACTTTGCTTTAGTCAGTGAGACTCTGGAGTGTTGAATAGCTGAGAAATGGTCTGCTCAGCTGGGAAACTATCTCAATCTCGGGCAGCTGGGAAGCAGGACAACACCAAGCTGTCCCCTGAGGACCTCACACATCTTCAAAGCAGCTTCTTAACCAGCTGGCACCCCCCTGCCAAGGCCTTCCTAATTCACACAGACAATATCCCCTGTGTCCTGTGAACCCCACTAACCAGATCACTTTTCTGAATAAGGAAAGCTAAAAACTGAGCCAAAGGTTTTTTATATATTTTTTAAACAAAATCAACCTCAGTAATAGAGTTTCTACAAGATGAAACTTGCTCTCTTATTTGAGAACCCAAAGACCCAAGTATTTCTTTCAATCTATGGTGATGGAGAACACAAGATACTCACCCACCACTCCTGATCCTCTTCCCCATCAACTACGATGATGTCTCCCTCTGAGAACGTCAGCTCATCCGGGTTATCGGCCACGCAGTTGTAAATTGCTTTCACCCTCTTGGGTTTTGTTTTTGACTGAAACACAAAATACCTAAGTGTAAAGAACAGAGCAAGGCAAGGACGGAGCAGAGAGGAAGCGGAGGGAGCAGCAGAGCCGCTTCCAGCTGCTCGGCGTCCTCAGCCGCAGTCCGGCTGCGCGATTCCGGTCGCCGCCTCTGCTCCAAGGAGGAAGCAGAGCATCAGCTTCCTCCCACCAAGCCCCTTGGGCCCAGTGCGCCCAGCCTCAGCCAGCACAAGTCTCTCCTCTCTACTCTAAGGTGCCACAAGGGCTGCACGTGCCATGCAGGTCAGGAGCACTCTGCCAATGCAGGGCAGATGGGGCAGAGAGACTCCAGAAAAACCATTCCTGCCGCCATCCTGGGGCTCCCCAGGGCCAGGACGAGCCTAGCCATGGGACACAGAGCTTGGAGAAGGGGCCCTGCCCACATCTCCACCCTTGCCCAGCAGGAAAAGGCTGTGTGGTGGCCAGCACCACCCAACAGCGCCCTGAGGTGCCGCTCCACTGCTGGAGCTGAGCAGGGAGGCAGCACTATCCTCCTCCTCCTCCCTGGAAGCTCCCGCGCTGGCACCCGCTGTGGCTCTGCCCGGGGACACAGGGCACCTCAGAGCAGCTCTGTGCTCTGTGTCACAGCAGCTCCAGCGGGAAACGCGACCCTTCCCTCAGTGCAGCAGGGAGGTCGACAGCGAGGAGAGCCACGAGTGTCGGCGCCGCAGCTGCCAGCAACGGCAGCAGCTCAACGAGGTATTTCCCATTCTTTAGAAGCCGGGGGAATTGCAAGAGATCCCATTCCCGGAGGACTAAAAAGTCTGATATATCTACAACATGGTTTCAAAAATACAAGTGTCCCGGGAAAAAAGATGCATCAGGGATTTCACATTTGGTAACTATGCACTTGAAAATGGAATCCCCTCTGAAGGAGGGAAAAATCCGTGGCTGCAGGCAGGGTCCAGGGGGGCTCCTGTCTCGCTCCTCGGGAGCCTCCTGCCATCGTTTGCTAAGTCTGGCCGGGCCTCCTCATCCTCTGACGGGCGAGGAAAGCTGGAGCAAGGGGCTAAATGGAGTGGTTTAGGCAAAGTGCTTTAGCTGCACTGATCTAGCTAAAGCTCTTTAGCTGAGGGGCCCTTCCCTAAAACCCCTGTAAGATGCTTTAGGGAGACTGATTTAGCTAAAGCACCTTAGCTGGCTGGCACTCCTTGTGCTGGGCTCCGCTGCAACAAGGAAATTACCCAGCTGATATTCTGTGTCACACAGAACTCACCCTACCAAAGCCCTAGAGATATCGGGGGAGTCAGACTCATTCTTCATATTATACAGAATTAATGCTAAGCAGTGGAGACCAAGACTGTTCCCAAACACTAGTCAGGACAACCTGTTCACTGAAGTAACTTGTTCTGTAATAGAAAAAGAGGGAACAAGGCAGGAAA